AAACCTATAAAGATATACAGAAAAAACTCCTATTCACGACTTTCAAATTGCCATTAAAACGAGGTCGTAAAAAGAGGTAAGGCATTTTCGAAAAACGACATTTAGAACATTTAAATTAAGTAAACAAGTAAAATAAATGCATTGATCGTGGGCCATAAAAAATATAGAAGAAGAAATACCACTGACAAGCCCATAAACAATGACACCCGAAACAACAGCAAATGCTTCATCGTGCCTCAGTGCAGCACAGTGCAGTATCAAGTATAAACAATCATTCTTCCCACCCACAATAATTGATTGGAACCACCTGGACAACGCTGCTGTGGACTCGGCATCGGTCGAAAGCTTTAAGGCTTCCCTGACATCTGCTAGGTCCTAGGAGCTGTTAGAATAGCAGTGGCGGAGCTAGGGGGTGCGGACCGCACTGGGTGACACCATCTCAGGGGGTAACACCAAACTGAACAAAAATTGCATATTTACAGAGCATACGTTGCTCGGTTAAACAAAATTTCATAAAAGAAGAACTGATCACATGAACATTTTCCACGCATCTACTAAACCAAACTGCGTGCTTTATTAAAATTTCAAAGTTGATGCGTCAAAGAAATGAGATGACTCTATAATTAAAAACACCTTTTTGACCATGATTCAATGCTGATTGAAGTGTTCGGTACTTCTGTAAGCGACAGGAAGCTATATTTATCCAAATTCTAGGAAAATAAAGCTTTCCATTGATACCAAATACGATGTGGTCGGGCGATTCTAAGTAGCCTACAAGAATCGAATCGGTAAAAGTTAAAAACAATTTTAAAAAATTAACCATTTATAGTTTAACACAATAATATTTTACAAAATGATCTAATATCTTTTAATAATTAATAAATATTTTTCTTTTTTAAGTTTTGGAAACCAAATATATCAAAACCCAGAAAAACTAAAAATAAATGTTTTCGCTGATTCCTCACTAGCACCAACCTTTAACATATGAGCACAATTGCCGAGCACCACAAGGTCTTTACATCCTCTCTGTGACTTCGCGTTTATCTGCTAACTTTACCTTTGGGCTGATCTACTTGAGAAAGATACCGTATATACTCGCATATAAGCCGAATTTAGAACTATAAAATACAATACTGAAATCAGGGGGTCGGCTTATGTGCGCATAAAACAACATGGACACAAGGACAGACACTAATGCCAATGTTCCAGCCACACATTTTCATCGCTATCTGACTCTTTATTGGGTTGTGTGTACAGAGTACTAAGATATATATATATATATATATATATAGATATATATATATATATATATATATATATATATATACAGAGGTGTCACTTCAAAGAATTTAATGTATGCATAGCTGATAATTATACCGAGTATGAATATTACCATGGAGAAGTCATTTTCGAAGTCAAAAATGGCATAAAATGAAGAAAAAATACTAAAAAAAAAACAGAAAATGTTTCCTATATCTATGGTTTCCTGACTAATACTCTATACGCAAATGCATAGAACAAAGTGAGAGTGAAAGAATTTTCGTCTTTATTCATATCAAAATGTATAATTTTTTCTAAATATATACTTCGTTAATCATTAGTTGTGAACAACTTATGAGCGGAAGTTCAGATATTATCATAGCAAACAATGTGGAAAGAGCAGAACATGTTTTTGTATCATTCCAAAAGGTCAACAAAATGGAATGTAACATAAAAGTAAGCATTTTACATCTTTACAGTAACACATTTCTATGAACCAAAAATATGGAGTAAAATTAGACAATTGTATGGACGGCTTATATGCGGGTTTTTTTCAAAAACTGGTCATTTTAAAGCAGTTTTAGGGGGTCGGGTTATATGCGCTGTAGGCTTATATGCGAGTATATATGGTAACCCTACACATTAGTATCTGCTGGTTAAATAAAGGCTTTACTCTTGACAAAGTGGGGACCAGCCTAGAGGGCCTAAGTTTGTTTCTGCACTAGGTGGAACCTACTATTGAAAAGTAGAATTTTTGTAGAGAGAAGATTAAGTTTTAAGAAGACCATGGCAGGAGAAGTATTTACGATTTACCATGGGCCAGTCAAGGCTTTCTGATCTGGCTCTGCTATCAATTTAAAGTGATACGGTGAAGGATATTGATTTTGATCAAGTTATTGACAGGTTTGCAGGGTTGAAACCAGTAAAGTAAAGTTTTAAATAAAATAAATTTAATGTAAAAAAAACACACTATGTCGTATCGTTGTTCCAGTTCTTAAATACATTTACCTCCTAACCTTCAATTAATTTATTTTTGCTAGTTATTGTTATGCTTGACTTATTTTAATAAGAAGAAATCCATCATAAAAGACGGGGTGTGTGTGTCTTTTTTTTTTTTTTTTTTTTTTTGGGGGGGGGGGGGGTGACACCAGGAGTTTAACCCAGCGGGTGACACCAACCCTAGCTAAATATATTATATATAATATATATATATACACGTATGTGTGTGAGTGTCTATTATATATGTATACTCATATGTCCCTGAAACATTTACTAAGAGCATTTTCCCCAAGTCAACTCACTTTTGCTTCATCAATTCCACTTCACGTTTCCCTTATTCTCCGACATTATCGGTCATATACATTTTCAAGATAATTTATCACGACGGCTGTACTGTCAATGACATTGCATCTCAACTCAGTTTAATTATATCATCGTTTGTGTGTGTGTATATGTGTGTGTGTGTGTGGGGGGGGGGGTTTTTTGGGGGTACACACAATAACACTATTTTTCGGGCTGTTAAAGTATTGTTTTCAAAATGTGACGACATATAAATTTTGTGCTGAATCATGAAGGGAAACAACGAATGTATTTGTAATCTGTTTCAACCAAAATGAATTATCTATCTTTACGACAGAGCTCGTAAATTGAATGTAAGCATCATTTAAAGGCCTATGGAATATGAGTATGAGCAGATTTCGTGGAGCGGGGAGGTCGAACTGGACCATGACCCACAAGAGTTCTAGTAGGTCATGGTTGGACACGAACCCTTTCCACTCACCTTTTCAGACTTTATAATTCTATGAATCTATGGAAGCTATTATTTGAAAATCAAATTGACAGTTATTTATTTTAGGTTTGTTGCCTTCATCACAGTAACACAGAGCTTACATTCAAGTATTTTTTAAAATCACTTTAAGTATGTTTAAAATCAAAACTATGGGCCTGAAAAGCCCACCAGCGGCTTGTATGCAATACGATAATACTTAGTGTCTGAGTTTTGGTAGTGATATAACAATATTATATATATATATATATATATATATATATATATATATATATATATATATTATACGAAGCATAAAATTTTGATAAATAGTATATTTTATAATTTAT